GGCTTGTACTGAGAAATTTATAGGAATCAATAAACCTTAATTTTACGCAATTTTTTTGAAAATGATTTTCGTTTTTATCTTTGGTGCTATCGACATGTTTCATGAATATATGAACGAAATATATTTTTCTTTGGTTATCGGTAGTATATCTACATGTCCGTCGTACGCGGTAGCTATTTCTTTAATTATAAAGTGCGCATCATACCCCGACAAGTTGTGAAATACAAATGGAATATTAAATGAATTTTTATAATTAAGATTACAATTTGAATGTGCTGGACCGCGGTATCTACCGGTTAAGTGACAATGATCGGGGACCCGCGTATCGTCCGGCGCGAACGGTTTCTCACAAATATGACAACGCGTCGCGCTGCGGTACACCTCCCATTGCTACTTAGATAAAGCTTCCATGGGCACGTTGGCGGATATAATATCTTTGACGCGATGCGCCAAATCATTGAGCTGTCGCGCGAACCACGCTATACAGTTTTTGTCGCGACGGAACTGATATGCTGATAACGTGTCATCGTACGAACATCGCACGTAGTATCCTATACTAAATACCTCGTGCTGTTGATACTCGTACGACGACGCGTCTTCCTTGTTGGGCTCCGTCTTCCGCAGGACGCACTCCAAGTCGGCGTATACTACGAACGGTACGCGTTCCCGGTTACAGTGGTTTCCAAATTCGAGCCATCTATCGTTCTCGCTCGGCAGTCGGATGGCGCAGTCGTTCAGTTTTTGGCAGTCCACTTCGTGCGTCTGCAATTTTTGGCTTGAGCCAAAATAATGTAGGCACCTGTAAATAAAAAAAAAACAAAAATTATTGCTATTACAATTATTTTTTTATTAGTAAGATGGAAAATAATAATTTTTTATGTGCACTTACCGATCGCAGAATAATTTCTTGTTCTTCTTTCTGCTGAGTTGTGAGCTCACGAGACGGGACAAATTTTTTATCCATGCAAAGTGGCCTACACCATCGTTGCGTGGATCTTGTAGATACAACACGTTCACGTGCTTCTCCTTCTTGTCGCTGGTGAGCCGTAGAGGAAGGACCTGTTTATTCTCGATGCCGTATACGTTGATCGACACCGTGTTCAAACGTTCGAATTTTGGAATGTCTCTTAAAGTCACTGGAAACTCGATACCCGTGAGATTTAACACAGTAGTGTAATGTGGATACGATGACTCTCGCTCCGTATACTTTTCAGCCGGATACAGTGCGGCGACCACCGACCACGCGAAGCATGCATTGTCCATCGTATGCACATTGATCACTGCTCGTTTCGCCGCTATTTCTCGCGGCACTTCGATATGGCATGCCGCACGCATTGGATTCAGTTTATTCACGTTGACAGTAAAATTCAATATACGTGACAATGCCCAACCGCTGTCGCGTTCCTGGAACTCTTCGAGCGACGTC